TTGTTTGGGCATCATGCATCCAAATTTTCAGTTGGAAATTACAAACCAGCCCTAATGATAAATTTAGTACTGGCAGCAGGCTTTCCCCCCAATGTATTCACAAACGTTCCAAATACCTACACAGGATAAGAAAGTACTTGGAAAAGTATCTTATTTATTTAAAAACTACTTCTAAACTGGCTTTGCAAAACATACAATAGTGAATTGCAGATTACGGTAGTTACAAAAAATGCATGGAAAATACTTTCACATAATATACATCATATCCTACTTAACTAGCTAATTTCACTGTTTTTTTTATAAATATAAAAATATAAAAGCCTAATAATTCTAACCACATCACTATCTAAAATAGCTTAATATGATGTGAAAAACTCTCACTCAAAACCCCTGATAGTTTGAAAACATGATCAATTTAAATGCTCAGCTTCCCCACCCATCCAAAAAAAATTATTACATATCACATAATTCAAAAGTTTCTTCAAGCAATAAATCACAGCACTTTTGCAATCACGGTCTTAACCACCACCTCTCTTACATGTTAATCACAACACAAATTACAAATGGCTTTGGGACCGGCATGGGATCCTGCCTTGGGCTTGGAGACTGGTGTGTAGCACAATTCTTTCCTGGGTATCTGGCTGTTGAATCTTGCCCATATGCTCAGGGTTTAGCTGATCGCCATATTTGGGGTCGGGAAGGAATTTTCCTCCAGGGCAGATTGGAAGAGGCCCTGGAGGTTTTTCGCCTTCCTCTGTAGCATGAGGCACGGGTCACTTGCTGGAGAATTCTCTGCTCCTTGAAGTCTTTAAACCACGATTTGAGGACTTCAATAGCTCAGACATAGGTGAGAGGTTTTTCACAGGAGTGGGTGGGTGAGATTCTGTGGCCTGGGTTGTGCAGGTCGGACTAGATGATCATAATGGTCTCTTCTGATCTTAGCATCTATGAATTTTTTTCTGTTCATCTACCACACCCCACTTCTGTATCATGGCATCTGTCATCCTCCTCCTTTCACCCTTCCTTCCTCCTTACTGGCTCCAAATCCCCTTGCTCACTACCCTCACGACTCTACAGTTCCCATTAGCTCCACCTACACCTCTTTCTCTCTCTGCCAGTCAGCACAAATCTAGGTCCCACATGCACATCCTCATCACCTCTGACATTTGCCCCACTCCTAGCCCCCCCTTCATCCCCACATCCCACACCCATCTCCACCACAGCCTCCCTGGTGCCACCATTCCTGTCCTCACCCACATTAACCACTACCTCCTCAACCCTTTCTCTTGTGTCTGGAACGCCTACCCCACTTCTAAAGAGCACAGCCATCCACAATCTTTCCTAGCTCATTCTTCCTGGCTCTCATGGACACCTGGATTCCTTCCTCTCACACTGCCTCTGCAGCTACCCTCTCTTATGGAGGCTTCTTCCCTTATACTCCTGACCCCGGATCAAGCTGTCAATCAGGCTGATTACCAGGATCAATCATCCACTTTAGTATTCTCCAGAAAGATCTTCCCAAGTTAGAGAAACAATGGTTCTGAGGCAGAAAAGTGAAAGCCTCACCTCCAATTTAAATACTCTGCATTCATGAGTGGGGAACATGAACCAATTATTGCCAGAGAAACACTAATTAAAGCACAGTTCTGAAAAGAGGTATTAAAACAGATTTAAATAATGCACAAAATTTTAAATTTGATAGGAGAAACTGTACAGTTTTGGCTTTCTATTATATTCTCTCAAAGATTTCCTTTCCATAGAATCACAATATCTGGTATTAGAGAAATTACAGCTGCATCATCTTTGGGTATTTTTATATAATCAGTTGAGACTTTTTGGAGTATGTATGGCTTTGTCAGTTGCCTGTTCAGGCTGGACACCTTACACAGACACATACACTGCACATACTTGTATTATATCTCTCTCCTAAGGGAGAGTGCAGCTAATTATGTCTTGGAAACAGAGGATCTCTTTACTAATCTTTTCTTCAACTGAATTCAAAGCAGTTGGGCCACTTCCATTACGAATTACACTATTTAAGAAGGATGGCAGTCTTGGGACTCTCAACTGGAATACTTCTGCTAACAGGAGTTCAGTAATGTGTAATTCTTTTTCTTCCATTAAGAATGGCCTTATCTTCATTAAGCCTAATTTTATTAGTTACTATTATTAGATATAGGGCAAAAGAGTATCCATCCCTCAGAGCTGTATAATTTTCCCCCTTTTCTCTTCTAAAGAATAAGCTTAGCTTTATCACCTCATTTTCTGATAATGAAACCTCTAGGGCTTCCATGCCAGATAAGTCCTGAATTTTAGAAGATACAGGCTGAAAGCTGTGATTTACATTAGCCAACAGAATCCATCCCTTCTATTTCTGCCTCTTTGCTAAGGGTGAGCAATAGCTATTTTGGAATCCCTCTGGGGAACATTAGCTTATTTTTCATTTGAGTCATTAAACAAAATAATGGGTAAACTCCTCTACAGCTTCAAGGAGAGGCTGAACTGCTGTCCCTCATTAAGAATTCAGAACACCAGGTTTTCTGAAGGAGAGAAGCAAGTTCTTTAGAGAGTCTTGTAATGCTACTGAATTCTAGATACAACTGGAGGAATCACCCTTCATCTTGATGTTTCCCATTTGATTCCTATGGCTCTCTTGGGACACGTGACCTGGGGGTAAACTACATCCAGTTTGTCTCTCAATAAACAGAGAAATATGCTTCATCTCATGCACTGCTGTTTCTATAGGACACCCTAAAATAGTGATTCTCATCCTTTTCTATACCATAACCCCATTCTAACAGAAGACAGTGGCAAGACTCTTCCCATCTAGTCATAAAGAAAGATGGATGATCATGTCCCCCACACCAGGCCTGGCTGCAGCCTACAAGTTGAGAACATATCTGGGAGGTACTTGGAGAACAACTATATATTGTGCTGGGGGTGGGGTTGGGGAGAACAAAGTGTCCCAAATATCACGTATCTCCTGTTATGTGAGTCAGAGTAAGGCAGGTACTGCCAGTTTTCACTCATTTTCATGAAGGAAATCCTTACCATGAAGTTCTTCTCTCATTGCTTGTGCTTTGGAAGAGAGATTACAAACTTTTCCTACTGATTTGAGCTGGATGTGTCATACACAAGTCAAAAATTCTTCATCTGCAGATGCCAAGAAGTTTCAGTTTCTAAAATCAACTAGCATGAGCAGATGGTCATTCAGATTTGTTATGGGAATGGCAGTCTGTTTACTTCCTACATTAAATATAAGCATAAAGTTTCCACTGCAAAACCACAGATGGTATTTAAATTATCTTGTATTCTGTCACTTGGCCGCAGCAGTCATTTCCAATGGTAAAACACAAAAGACTAAAATAAAAAAAAAAAAAATTCACAGAAAACATAAAAAAAGAAAATCGGAATAGAAAAAACTGGCCCTTCCTCTCCAAATATTCATGGCAATACATTTGATTATTTAGTTTGATAAAAAAAAGCTTGTTACACTATTTAACAGTACTAAATTTTGGTTAAAGTTTTTTTTAGTATTAACAATAGGTTAACTCCCCTGTGGCAATTATTGAGAACTTCAGGAGACAAGAAAGTGACAAGAAGGTGAGAATCTCTTCTCTGGAAATCTCCAAAGACTTTAATACACCGGGGATGGATAGATCTCAGCTTTGCACAAGGGAAGGGAAAATCTGTGGTGACAATCCATTGTTTCCAACATCAGTCACTTCCATGATAATAAAAAGAGGTCTTCTACACAGAACTCTTAATTATTATAGAAAAACATTATGATGTCAAGAGGTCAGCATAATTTTCCTTTTAAAAATTTCTACCAGAATTTTTAATCTTAATTTCGGAGACCCATAAGTCAGGAAACACAAGATTTAAAGTTTGGATAAAAATATTAACCTGTGCTTAATCATGTGTTATGTACTTCGAGTACAATTTTTACCTCTGTAACCTGTACCAAAATACTCCACATGTACAATCTGAGCAACTTGCCTTCTGCAATTCTTGACTTGGGAGTGTTATTTATAACCTTAATGTTACATCAATGTAGACATTACATTAAAAAAAAAGCCACCATACCACTTACTCTGATGCAAGTACTCCCAATTTGATCCAGACTGGGGAAATTGTACAAGGATAACAATTTGCATTTCTAAAGGGTTTTCTTGGGAGCACAGAAGACTAAAACGTCCGCAAGTTTTCCCCCTTTTTCTAAGCACACAAAATTACAAAATACTAACTGAATTTTTAAATACAATATAAGGCTCTCTAAAGAATTTTAACAATGGCAGGCAAAAATAGTAACATCAGACAAGAATTAAAGAAGGGAAGAATAAAAGACCGGTTTTACACAGAGTGGAAGTCAAAGATATTATGCTTGCTCTCACCCGGCTTTGTTACCCCCCCAAAAAATGCATGCCAATATGGTCTATTAAATGCATCAGACAACAAACGTCTTCCCCCTCAAACCAAAGAGAAAGAAATCGTAGTATTATTTTGTATACCCCCTTGAAGTGCATTTATGAATAATTTTAAATCTGAATTCTAGCTATATTCAAAACTAAACATCATCACAGAATTGCATAAGGAAACAGTCAGCAGAACACAATGATTTTCCCACTTTACTACAGGGCCTAAACGCCCTCTACTCCTTCCAGGACACAGAGTGACCAAAGACCACCTGTAATAGTGCCCAGAAGTCAAACCTTGTAGATGCACGAGAACCTCCAGGCCAGCAGCTTGATATTAGTCTATGGGTTAGATCCTGCAACTGGATCCACTTGGATGAGTGGAGCCAGAAGTAGGATCTAGCCTCTAGGATTTAATGCAACTTCAGTGGCCCTTAGAACAAGCCCTAAATACTGAGGGACAGAACTCTGAATATTTTACAAATATTCACCATTTCTATTGTTCCTGGGTATGATCAGTGTTTATCTCTCTCTTCCCCCTTTGTGTCTTGGTCAAATATGTAATCTTCTTAAGAAGATACTTACGTGCATTTAAAATACTGTATTCCTTCATGGCTGCCATTATGCTTTCCTCTTTGAGGACTGTCCCATTCTACTCCAAGCCAAAGACCTTAAAAATAATAATAAATAATAATATATTGATTCAAAAAAATAGAAATTTGGAGTTCAGATATTTTCTGCCCAGTACATTTGATTCATTATGGGTATACAACCTCTCTCTATAGTACCAATTTCCAATATAAAGCCCTACTTACAAGCCCACCTATAATTCTGGCATTCAAAAATTGATTTGGCTTAAAAGTTGCCACACTTACTTTGAAGGCAATGAAAAATGTTTCTGCAAAGTTCTTCCTCCTAGTTCTCAAAATGTAGTTAATATTTTTAACAAAAACTATACTTTGGATGAGATTGTTAATGTTGAACTGTTAAAGGAATTCTTCAGAAAGGCTCAAGCGTCTGGAGAGAGAGAAAACAGGAGCAGGGAAAGAGGTCCAGGGCTATGCACAGTCCTACAGAAAGGTAGGAGAGGGACTATTATCTCTCCCAGGACCACAAATGGGGGTCTGTGCCAGCACAGAGAGAATCGTCAAACTTTACAAGTGCTAGGAAAATTATGCATCTATACCCTCTCTCCTGGGCTAATGGGTTATGAAATTGACCTAGCAGTTTGTTTAGCCCAGGCTGTTATTACCTCAATCAGAAAGCATCCTCAAAATTAAAGTAATGTCAAAAAGTATTTTGTTTAGGAAATCACATACCCCAAAGCTCTAATAGAAAGAGTTCTAGAGACACCACACACTTTTGTTGTTTGTGTAGGACAAGAAAACTAATTTTAATCTATGAGTTTATTGCAAGATATTCACCCTAGGCCTAAATTCCCTTTAAGCTACATGGCTGGGCAGGCTATCAAGTGCCGCCACTTCTGGTGTAGCACTTCTGGTGCCCCTCCCCCTGACCCCAACTCCACAAAGCAGAAGTGGTGGGCATGACAGGGCTCAGGAGGGAGGGAGCTTGCTGGCAGCTCCTGCTGTGTTTGAACCTTCTGATCTACTTAAAATGGCAGTGTACTTAAAGGGGCAACGCGCATCTCTCGGTCACACACACACCCCCACCCCCCATGTGTGTGTCTGTCTCACATACACACTGTCTTTCACACTGACCTCCCAACACATACTTGTATTATTATTGTTACTTCTTTCAAAGTGTGTTATTTTAGTTTTTTGACTGGTCTATGCATTTCATAAGTTTTATTTCTCTTACACTTAAATTTAATTCTTTCAGTAATGAGTTCTAAAATGCCTAACCTGTCCTGGCTGGAGTAATTATCCCTATGGTAACTTTTTTAAAACATATATATTACACCTAGGTTTTTGGTTTCTGTTGGTGGTGCACATACGCACATTACCTCAACATGGTGCACATAACAAAATTCATTTTGCACATGGATGGAAAAAATTAGAGGGAACACTGCCCTAGGCCATCTCTTGTCCTCTCCCTTCAACATTCCCTGGCTACCCCACCCAATGAGTATTTTCCAAGAGAGTAATGGACCTCTCCATAGTAGAGTTGCTTTAAGTGGTATGCCCCAGATAGCATTTCTCCATGTTGGAAGCAAGAGATCTTGCAATAACATTACATTCCATTTAGGATAAAAAGGTCAGTACACGTAAACGGGTCACTATCCTAAGAATAAGATGGTTTGCTATACGGGTGAGGCTTTTGGTCATTGGAATCAGTTTCTCCCCTTCCTAACATACTGTCATGACTCCACCACATCATCAGTTATATTAAAAAATAATTCCATTTCATTTTAGGTATTAGGAAACCATTGGAAGTTTTAGTACTAATGAGGCTGTACTGAAGCTAACAGTATTTTGCAAAGTTACCAGAGCTGCTCAGCAAAGTAGGCCAATCTGCATCAATTAGTAAACAAAACCAGACAGATAGCAAATGGCACTATGATCTACAGCTAGTAGCTTCTCATGCAAAAGTTAACCTTTACATTTACAAAACATTAACTTTACCTGTTGTGGGAGGAACACTACCAGCGTACCTCACAGTTGCATATTCTGTATCACAAAGGATTCTTCGACCAAGCACATCAGAAGGCACACTACTAGTCATTGTGAGAAATCTGCAGTCCAAGGCACTTATTTAAGGATCTGGGGAAAGGGAAACAACATTGCTGACAAATACACACAAGTGCTTTTAAGTTACAATTTTTGGTTTTGTTTCTCATTGTTCACAATTTCCTCTTAGAGACAAGAAAATAAAATTCTTCCTCCATCAGTCTTATACCTTTCAGTCTGGCAAATACAGATTCTCCCCTGCATCTCACTCTGATTTTTCTAAAAAGAACAGGAGTACTTGTGGCACTTTAGAGACTAACAAATTGATTTGAGCATAAGCTTTCGTGAGCTGCATCCCATGAAGTGAGCTGTAGCTCACGAAAGCTTATGCTCAAATAAATTGGTTAGTCTCTAAGGTGCCACAAGTACTCCTTTTCTTTTTGCAAATACAGACTAACACAGCTGCTACTCTGAAATCTGATTTTTCTGTTACTGTTGCTTGAATAGCTATAGAAATGACACTTATTACTCAGCAAGTTTTTTAGTCACAGGTATTTTCTTATTGTGGTTTACCTCCTAATTCTAATTTTTAAAGACCATCATGACGATTTTCACTCCTAAGTTTCATGCCTCCGATAATGCAGAAAACTCCACCTAATTTTTTAAGACTGACCCTCTAATCCAGTGGTTTTCAACCTGGGGGTCCAAAGTCTATGTCTAAGGGGTCCGCAAAAGGTTGTTACCATAGAAGAGTGGTTTTCAACCTGTGAGCTGCAGAAAATCCCTGGGAGTCTGCAGACTACGTCTAAGACTTCCAAAGGGGTCCGCACCTTGATTTGAATTTTTTTAGGGGCCCACAAATGAAAAAAGGTTGAAAACAACTGCTCTAATCCAGGCATTCTCAAACTTCATTGAACCGCAATCCCCTTCTGACAACAAAAATTACTACACGACTCCGGGGCTGGGCAGGCGGGGGGGGAGAATACTGAAGCCTGAGCCCACCCGAACCCAGCGGCCCAGAATTGGGGGGGCCAAAGGCAAAGCCCCACTGTGGGAGAGGCCAAAACTGAAGCCCAGGACTTCAGTCCCAGGCACGGGGCCTCTGGCGGGGGTCAGGAGGAATAGCTCAGTGGTTTGACCATTGTCCTGCTAAACCCAGTTCAATGAGTGAGTTCAATCCTTGAGGGGGCCATTTAGGGATCTGGGGCAAAAATTGGGGATTGGTCCTGCTTTGAGCAGGGGGTTGAACTAGATGACTTCCTGAGGTCCCTTCCAATTCTGATATTCTGATTCTATGAACTTAAGCCCCACCACCCAGAGCTGAGGCCCTCAGGCTTCGAGCCCAGGTGGTGGGGCTCAGGCATCAGCTTCGGCCCTCGGCCTCAGCAAGTCTAAGCCAGCCCTGGCAACCCCACTAAAACAGGGTCGTGACCCACTTTGGTGTCCCAACCCACAGTTTGAGAACCACTCCCCAGCAGACCAATCTCAAAAACTCGGCTTTCCTATACGTGCTCCAGTCTCAGAGCATTCCTGCTAATTAGTGCCTTTCAAGAACAGGAAGCAAGAGCTCCCTTAACTGCATATTTGAGAGTGAGACTCAAGTCAGATATGCTCAAAGAAGCAGAATTATGAGGTAAGGGAATTATCCTCTCTTCAAAGCTAGGCATTCTGCATGGATTATAACAAACAATACAATGCTTACTGTTGCACCATCCATTAAGAACAGAGCCAAAGCCAGGCAATTAACACAAAAGATATTTTCTTTTTCGTTTAATGGTGGATAAGATACATCAGCCCTGCAGCAGGGCTGCATACAGTAAACCTGACTAGTGTGTTCTGACAGACAATGAAACTCTCCAGAGCAGCGGTTCTCAACCTATTAACCCGGGTGGGCCACATATGCAGCTCTCTGTGGGTTATGTTTCTACTACCCGTATGGCCCCGAGGATGTCACAGCTGGGTGCTGACTGGGTTGAAAACCACTGCTCCAGATGTTTAACCAGCTCGAGTGATGGCCATGCGGGTGACAATCTTTGTACGGGGTGAGGCGAGATCAGGCGGCTCTCCCCGCTCAGAGAGAGCTTGAGCCGGAAGCAGGTTTTCCCGTTCTCCCTAGAGACCAAATCCAAACAAGGGCGCTCCGCAAGCGAGGCCCCCGTGGGGGCTAAGTCTGCGGGGCAGAGGCCGCCCTCCTTTGGAGGGAATGTGCCCGTCAAGCCTTGGGCTGCAGCAGTGAGGCCCCGGGACACCCCCGGCAGCGGGTCCGCGCGGTGCAGCCCTGCGAGGAGGCCGGGGCTGGAACCATGGGGCAGGGCGGCTCACATGAGACAGACCCGCTGAGGCCATCGCCCCGCGCTGCCGGGAGAAGGCCGCGGGGTCCCTGCACAAGCGGCGCCGCCAGAGCACGGCGGGGAGGGGCCGCCCCGCCAGCCGGCGCGAAGCAGCCCGCGCGGAACCGGGGAGGGGCTGACTCGGCGGAGCTGGGCGGCTCGGGACCCAGCCGCTCCCCAGGGCGGGCGGGGGCCGTTGCGTGTCCCCGGCCCGGGGGTCCCGAAGCCTGACCGGCTCCCGCCTCCCCGCTGGCCGCTGTGACCGGTACCTGAGTCCCGCAGCAGCGCCCCTGCTCCCCGGCAGGCTGGCGCTCCTCCCGGTAAGGACCGTTCCCGCCCCGCCCCGCCGCCTTCCCATTGGTTCAAAGCGCTCTATGCCCGCCTATTTCCCCCCTCCCCATTGGTCGCCTCGTCGGAAACACTAAACCGCTCCTCCTCCTTCTATAGTCACAGAGTCGGCGCCGTAGAGGCTCCGGGGCAATTCCGGGGAGTTCTTCAGTCTCTCCTCATGTGGAGCTGCGAGGTACCCGGACCACAAATCCCATGATGCATCGCGGCGAGGAGCCGCTGAGGAAGGTGTGCAGTTAGCTCTTTTCTGATTGGCTGTTGGTTGCGGTGCGTTTCCTGATTGGGCGAATAATTCCAGCCCGCTGCTTCTCGGGGCTGCAGTGAGCAGCCTGGGCCAGGGAGGGCTCAGCTGCGACCCCACTAGCATCCGTGTGCAGGTGGTGGTGTCTCCCTCGGTGTGTCAGAGGTTGGTCCTGGCAGAAACTGCCGGAGTCGGAGACCTCCTGGACTAGGGCAGGTGGACTGGGTGGAGCCCTGCGCGCTCGGACAACGCCTGGGGCATTCCACCCTTCCGACCCCTAGGCGCATACTCCAGGAAGTGAAGGCCGCTTTGTCACCCAACTCTCTCGCTTTCCTGCGGCGAGCCCTGCGAGAGGGCGTTCCCCACCCACCCCTCACCCCTCACCCCTGGCCCTCCGGACATTTTTTCTTGGGCCCCTGTTCCGTGAGCCCCCCCCCCCCCGGCCTCCCTGCTCCCACACTCCGAGCCAGCTACATACCCTGCAGTCGGTCCGGTTTCAAACCATGGCCAGAACCATCTGTACACACTCATGCTCCATATGTTACACTTCCTCACCCTCGTGTCCCACCCCGATACCAAATGGCGGGATTATCTTCCACCTAAAGAGGGTGAGGAGCCCCGGTGGGCCAGCCTTTATTCCACCTTGGTCCCACGGCCCGCCGGGGACATTAGTTGGCGGCTCCTTCATGGAGCCATGAGCACGGGTGTGTACCTGGCGCGGTTTACCCCTGTACCTGAGGCCTGCCCCTTTTGCGCCGTGAGGGAGAACCTGGCGCACGCCTATCTCGAATGCACCAGGTTGCAGCCCCTATTCTGGCTCCTCCAGAACCTCTTGTTGAGGTGCTGGCTGCACTTTTCCCCACACTTGTTCCTCTTTGTGCACCCTATCCGTGGCCCCACGAAGTCACGAGACCTCCTCATCAACCTCCTCCTGGCTCTGGCCAAAGTCTCTATCTACAATACCAGGAGGAGGATGTTGGACGAGGGGGTGCTCTGTGACTGCGGGGCCTATTTCCATTCCTCCCTAGTTTCATGCATCTGGGCAGAGTTCCACTGGGCAGCGTCCGCTGTCTCCCTCGACAGCTTTGAGGAGCAGTAGGCGCTGTCCGGGGTTCTCTGCTCGGTGTCCTCTACCGGTATCCTCATTTTGAACCTCTGACCCTCACTCCGGTCCCTGTTTTTCATTAGTTGTCCCCCATAATCAGTTGGTCCCTGGGTCCAGTGGTCCCTCCTGCTAGGCTGGGGGAGGGGCCTTTAGCAGTGGGTGGGCTTTTCCAATAAGACTCCGCTAGGTTGGCCAGCGTGGATGAAAATTGATGATTTTTTTTAAATTGAACTTTTAATTAAACACCAATTTATTTCAGAAAAATAAACCTACTTAAAATTATAAGTGAAATTATTACAATTTATGGTAAGGCCTAAATTTTCATTGATTAAAATAGTTAATAAATATATGTTGGCTGCCACTTTTTAAAGCAAGTCTAGCCCCTGAAACCAGGGGTAGTCACAGCCTAAGCACTTGGAACCAGAGTTTGCTGAAGGGCTAAATGAGCAATAGTCTTTTCTGCAGGTGCAAAACCACTTTTTTTTATTTCAGTTTATTTCACTAGTTCAGTTCAATAACTAGTTTATTCAAAGTTTAAAAATAAACTGGAAGTTGAGAAAGACAGAAAAGGTTGGTTTTCTTGTCCAAAAATATGAATACAAACTAGGTTTGTAAGGATGAGATTGACTAGTTCTAAAATCTTGAACATGGTGACCAGAAACAATCAAATTAATTAATTAGCAACAGATACTTTGTCTAATTAGTTTTAGTTGTAAAACATGTTTTGATACATTTTTTGATAAATGAGTTAGATATAAAAATGTTTTAAGAGTTTTATTTAAGGAATTAAAACATTTTAAATTGCTGGTTTTGTGCATTTTTTATTTGATTTTCCAACCAAATAGACTTGAAACAAATCACAAGTAAAAAATTAATAACCATTGAGGAAATAAATCATTCACCATTTTCTAACATAAAAATGTAAACATTAAAAATTGAACAAATGTAAGTTAACTATAACATTCCTTAATTGTGTATAAATATGGTGTGTATCCTAGTGGTTAGCAAAAAGCAACACCAAAATTAGTGTAAAGACTATATTTAGTGGCAAATCAACATGTGTTAATGTTTACCAACCAATGAGAATTAACCTTTCTTTCAACTAAAAAGTACAAATGTAAAACTATTAAAATCTATTTAAATCAAGGTTTCTTGCTTGCTAATTTAAATGATTACTAAAATGAGTGACTGAAACCAGTCCACCAAGATCTTGGTACTGGGGGGGAAATTACTAACAAATGTCTCACAAGGATGCAGCATGTCCTGTGTGTTCTTATGGATGAGATACTGGACTGGGAATGAGGACCCCTGTGTACCAGGCTCAGACACAGACTCACTGTGTGATCTTGAGCTAGTTACAGGTAAAATATTTCTGAAGTGAAAGCAGATTGTAGGTGCCCAAATTAAGATACCTTGGACCTAATTTTCAGAGAATATATTGTTCCCACTAACTTCAACTATCATTTAAAATTCAAAGCAACTTTCCAATCATAGGATCTTTTGAAAGGAACACAATGAACAGAACAGTGCATTTTATATCATTGTGACTAGTCAAGCATTCTAATAAAAATATTATTTCTCTACCTATAAAATATCTGAACCCCCTCAAATTCAGAAATTGTTTACAGTATAGTCATGATTGTCCTAATAGCATAGGGGACACAGATTTTATTTGGATAATTAGGAGTTTGGATAATCAAGAGGGCAAGAGCACCTCTGCAGCTCCACTGTCACAGACCCGCTCACTTACTCGTATGACAGCAGGGCTGCAGAGGGCTCCCTGCACTGCTGCTCTTGCCCTTTCAATTATTACAGGTCCCAGGGGTGGGGAGACTTTGGTAGCGTAGGGCCTGAGGAGGGAGTCTACATAGCTATCCAAACTCCTAATTATCCAAATAAAATCTGTGTCCCCTATGCTATTAGGACAATCATGACTATACTGTAAACAATTTCTGAATTTGAGGGGGTTCAGATATTTTATAGGTAGAGAAATAATATTTTTATTAGAATGCTTGACTAGTCACAATGATATAAAATACCTTAGCTATATAAAAATAGCTAGTTTGGATCAAAAGGTGGAAAGTGTAAAACTAATAAAAGGAAACAACATCTGATTAGACTGTGGAGCTCATTGCCATATGAAATCATTGAGGCCAAGAACTTGGCAAGATTCAAAAAAGGGATTGGACATTTATATGGATGACAAGAATATCCAGAGTTATAAGTAATAGTAACACGATTTTTGGAAGGAATATTAAGCCTTAGCATCAGCACACAAGCCAGTCTTTAACTACTAGCAATCAGAATGAGATCAAATATGGGCTTCAGTGTCAGGAATCAGGGCCTACAGCAGAGCCAGTCTCTGGGCCACCTAATGAACACAGCTGGCCTGTAGTAAGCTGCCTGACTAGCTACAATGCTAGGTTGACTGGAAGAGTCACAAGACTAGACCAGCTCTAAAACCCAGCTACAGCAGTTACTCATGGGGGAATTCTGCACCAAAAAATTAAAAATTCTGTGCACAACATTTTAAAATTCTGCAAATTTTAATCATCAAAATAACACAATGTAATCACACCAGTTTCAATTATTTTGGTAATTTCTTTCAAAATACCTGTCAGCAAGTATATCTGTAACAATATAGACAAAAATGATTCAGGAAATTTTTGATAAATAGATTCCTTACTAGGCATATTAATACAGAACTTTGAGTAATAATTCATTTAAACTACAATACAGAAACATATTTCCTGCTCCCTTCAGAAGCAGTGCAAAGGCTTGAGGGAGTCAGGGGTATTGGAGGAGGGAAGTCATTACTGGGAAGGAACCTGGAGGGTTGTTGGGTGTGGGAAGTATGGAACAGGTTTTTTGGAGGCGGGAGGGATTGTTACAGAGTTGGGGAGCCTCCCCCTTGCAGACCCTGGCTGACCCCTAGTCTCCCCCATTCAGTCAGCACATCTACCCTTTCCCTATGTGTCCTTTCACCCCCATTCCCATGTGGACCTGCACCCCCACTCAGCCACCCGTTATCCCCCATCCCCACATGGCCCTGCACCCCCACTCCCATTCAGCCCTTCCCCGACCTGTCCCCCCACTAGCCCTTCTGAACCCATCTGCATGACCCCACCCCTCATGTGCCCCACTGTCTGTCCCTTCCATATCCCAAGTCTCCCACCTGCGGGCATGCAGCCTCTGACCCCTCCTGATCAGCTGCTGATTGCTACAGTTGGTGAGATGGCTGCCCTCTGTTCTGGCACCACAGAAGCCTCTGTGGGCAAAAGGTGTAACTGCAGCACTTCTCCAGCAGAATATATTTTCTGCAGAGAAAAAAAATCTGCGGGCGAATATGAATTCTGTGTGCGTGCAGTGGTACAGAATTTCCCCAGGAATAAGTAATTCAGTAGATGTTAAAAACATTTGCTAACAGCTGTGATAGCTCCTATGCCCTGCTTTAGTCTTGGCCCTAGCCTTTCCTCACTCTAGATAAGTTGGGTGTGACTCTTGGCTCCAATTCCTGATCTCTCACTCTGGCTCTGGCCTCGAGCATCTGACCCTGGGTGCTGATATCTGATTATCCTGGTCACTAACTTGTAGATTCTCTACATCTGCCTAACGCAGGGTTCTTCCACCTTTCTCTGAAGTATCT